AATGAAACTTAGTAAACATTAAAGTTTATGTGACATAAACTGCAATTATGGTGCCAAAACATAAATAAACGTCGATCAAACTTTAAGAATTAACACTGTAAGAAGCTATTTGGGGATTATTCTCTCCTAACAACTATCACTCTAATGTAACTTAAAGAATGTTATGTATATTTCTTGCTATAAAGAACCAAATCAGAAGGACAGAAATGCAGTCAGAAATATGAGCAATAGGCATATTCACTTTAAAATTTGGGATAGTCTGTAACATTAAGATGCAAATACCATTATAATCCTAGCACTTAATTATTGTTCCTTCAGTGACCATTAGTTGTGAGGTTTGTTTTTTGTTTTTATTTAGGAGACTATTACACTTAGATTACACCCAAGGGACGAATTTGAAAAGTGGAAAAATGTTAAAGCAAATTGTCCTAAATTTGCAAATTAAAATGCCTGAAGTATCTGATTATATATACAAGAAATGGTATCTTATTAAAGTAGTTAAAACTAAGACACTTTGCTTCCAAAAAACCACATTCAGCAATAACCTGAACTAATCTGATGAAGATGCTTAGCAGTATAAAGAAAAATGTTTACTTCACATAGATAACATTTTAAAGAAAAACACAAAACAAATGTCAAACAATGAAGAACCAATTTGGAATTAGATAATTCAACAATGCATGCTATAAATTTTACCAATTAAATGATCAAAACTAAAGACAAGAAACACAGTACTTACCAGGTTTCTGGAATATTTTCACACTAACAAGTAGTAGCCTATTAATCACATAAAAATACCACCGGGAATTTAAATAATCAACCAGAAATAAGAACTTGACTATCCTTTGGGGGAGGATCCAGTTAATGAATTAACAGTATTCTGAGAAAGATCTCACAGAGAGACTGGTTTCACGCGTAACTAACCTACCCTGGAGCTCAGCTCATAGCGATGCTGATTTCTGAGCTGAGCTGAACGACCTCACTCGCCCACCGGAACATCGTCTTGCATCTACATCTACACCCGTGCTGCCAAAAGCAACTTCTCTGTTGTCATTTCACTCAAA